GAGATGAACTACGAAAATGTCAAGATTCACTTCGATCTGTTATGAATAAAGTATATATATTAATCATTTGATTTCTTAAATAAATACATATTTTTCTTAGGGTGCTGCATCAGGTACTGATGGTTTACAACGTCTTCTTCGTCAATTTGCTGATGAAAATCGTAATCAAGATATAATAAAAGGTTATCATGGTACATTAATTGAAAATCTTGAATGTGATCCAGCTTTTTATACAGCTGTTGAAGTTATTGCTGGAAATCGGTTTGTTATTTTTGATATAAAATAAAATTCACATATTTTCTTTTAATTTTTCTAGACTTAATTATCATATTGTTGATACTGATGTTATTGCAACACGTTTAGTTAAAGAATTTAATGCAAGTCGACAACGTGGTGAAATACATTTTCTTCCATTAAATGTCTTAGATATACAAAATAATCATTTACCTCAAATATCCGGTGCTTCACCATTGATTGATCAATTGCAATGGACATCAAAAGCTGAAAAAGCTGTTCGACATGTATTTAATCGTATTATGCTTTGTGAAGATTTTAATTCAGCTACACGTACAGCTCGACAATATGATGTTGATTGTGTTACACTTGATGGTGATCAAGTTCAACGTCGTGGTGCATTAACTGGTGGTTTTATTGATAAGAAAGTTTCACGTTTAGAATTACAACGTTCAATAAAACAATTACGTACAACATTAAGTAAATATGAACAAGAATATGATGCACTTCGAAGTGAAATTATGAATATGGATAATGAATATAATAATATTATGACTGAACTTCAACGAGAAGATATGAAATCAAAGAAAAATTGGTAAGAAAAAGAAATGTTCGATGAAATAAATTCAATATAATGTTTTTAGGGATAATTATGAACAAATGAAATCAGATGCTAAACATCTTCAATCAGAATTAGACCGAATTACTACTCATCGACCAGGAAAAGTAAATTGATAGTGAATTAGTGACATATATGTTTACTTTTTTATTATTAAAGGAACGTCAATTGAATACTCTTATTGCTACAATTGATCAATTTTGTGCTAAAGAAGAATCATTACAATCTGAACTTGGTAGTGATCTTGTATCACAATTAACTGTTGAAGAACAAGCAACAGTTGATAAACTTAATGATACAATTGAAAAAATAACTCAAGAATTAAAAGAAATTATTCGAAGACGTGTTGAAGTAACTGAGAAAGAAAATCTTTATATATATTTATATTCTCTTTTTATTTCATAGCTTGAAGGTAATAAAACAAGACTTGAACATCAAGTTGCCAATAATTATCGTAAAAATCGTGATCAAATTAATACGGTATAATCAATAAATATAAAAGAAAATTCTCTATAATTTAAGATTTTTTATTTTCTAAAAGGATCTTGAAAGAATGCACGTTGAAAATGTTCGTAGTGTTATCGAAGAACTTGAACGTGAATATACCATTCTTTCTGATAAACTCAATGAACATGAAAAACAAACTGATGGTATAGGATTTCATTTATATATATATCAAATTTTTATAAATTTCAATTTTAGCTATTGATCGAATAATTAATAATTTGGATAAAGAATTAAAAACTAAACAAAAAGAACTCGATCAATTAAAGGTTAAATCAAATAATCATTCTTCTTTTTTTTTTATAAATACTTATTTTTCATTCTAGAATTCCGATAGAGATATCGATGAACATATCAACGAAGAAAAAAGAAATACGGATAAATATGAAGTTAAATTACGTAATGCACAAAATAAGGTATTTATCATTCATCTAATAGATAACAATTGTAATAACTCACAAAACATATGATAATAAATTTTTTATTTTAGCTTGATGAAAGTACTAAACGTCAAAATGATATTGGTGTACCACCAGATGGACTTGATAAATATAAAGATATTCCTACTAAACAAGTAAATATTTATTAGATTTTATTAGATATGAAATATTTTTATAATTTTTTGTTTAGCTTCAACGTGATCTTGATCGTGCTATAATTGAATTAAAAAAATATGCTCATGTAAATAAAAAAGCACTTGATCAATTTCTTCAGTTTAGTGATGAACGTGATAAATTAACAAATCGTAAAGGCGAAATTGATGAAGCACATCGTGTATGTTTTAGATTATTTTTTATTATTTAATAAATCATAATTATCCTTTTTTTTTGTTTCCTAGCATATTGCGGATTTAATTGAAAGTCTTGATAATAAACGTTTTGA